CGACTTATACAAACCGGAATCAAACAACACACGTCAAAACCTTCTATCGAGAACCTTAAATCGATTATTAGGATCAAAACGACCCGACAAACCCACATAAAACAAATTAAATCATAGAAGATTGTCCCATGACCATACTATAATATAATATACTTATTTTGGGAACAAAGGATTTTGCTGAATATTTTAAATTAACTTTAAAACAAAAAAAAAATTAGTTAAATGTAGACAGAAACTGGGTTTTCTTAAAACTGTGTTAGTTAATTCCGTTTTGCATAAGTAAGATCAGTTTTCGAATCCAATCGTTGTATATCAAAGAAACAATACTTAATTAATAATATACACTTTCATACATTGTATAATTATCACTGTTATGTGAATTTAAGTAGACTCGTATAACAAAAAAAAATACTAAAATTTATTTCGAATATTCTGCGCCAAGGGAATATTTCAACACCGACGTATATAGAACAGATGAGTTATATAGAACTAGCGAAATACATATCCGATTCAGTGGAACTAGCGGCCTTCAATTCCGACTCCCTTTAACAAGCCACTACTGACACTTGTACATAATATCGACCTCTGGTCTTGGAGCGTGGCGACCTCCAAGTACACCGAACTACAGAGTAACTAGTAATGCTGCATATACGCGCTGAAAAATCTACAATACCAGGCAAGATCCCCTCGCCTTGTCGGAGGGGGGAAGGAGGATCCCCCTGTGTTATAGGGACATAACACATGTTCTTCCACAACGTCAAAATTGGTCAAGTTTCAAAATTGGTGGTGAAATACTCCCTAAGCGTCAAGTGGTCTCTAATTATTATTTTTCTAAACCAAAACTTAGTCTAATCATGATTGTAATAAGAATACATTTTATAAATCACTAGCAAATTATAATATAACATATGAACGTGTTACAGAAAGTTAGCAGAAATACGTAAAAGTACACAATTCCGCTACGCTAATCTCAGGAACTACTGGTCCGATTTAAAAAATTCTTTCAGTGTTAGATAGCCCATTTATCGAGCAAGGCTATATATCATCACGCCAAGACCAATAGGAGCGAAGCACCAATGAAGAATGTTTCAAAATCGTTTTTTTTTTTCTTTTGAGAGCTTCCGCTGCGTGCACTGTGTAAACGGAAATAGCTCCTTAACGTATGTATTATTTAAAAATATTTTCACCTTCTAAGTAAACGAAGTCGTGGGTTAAAGTAACTATTCCACGCGGACGAAGTCGCGGGCAGAAGCTAGTAATATGCATATATATATACAATATATATACATATGTATATCTGAAGCATTATATTTTTAATTTCAAACGAAAAGTTTCTATTAAAAAGAAAGAAATGTAGGTATTAAAAAACTCAGGGTATCATATACACGTCACTAAAGTGCAACTGCGCCTTTCCGTAACACGTTTATATTCCAGCTACACACAGCTTATTCACAGTTGATATATTTGTTAATTTATAGTCCAAGAAGTTTATAATAAATACGTATTTCTTTCTGAATTTGAAGTCTTTACGCAGTCGGTCAATAACCAACCGATTGTCTCACAAGAAAGCCGCAATAACAGAAGTCTAATATATACAGAAACTAAGATCATCCCGACTGCTTCCATTACAGTTTGTACAGTTGAAGGCGAATGTAAAGTCTAGCGTTTGATTACAATCAACAATCATATATATAACCAAGATTCCACAACATTACAACAGAGGACAGTTGTTTGTGTAATGGCAGATTAGTATATTTTGAGTATGGAGGGTAGAGGCAAGGAGAACCATCTCTGTGTAAAAAAAGTGTCCAAACGTCCAATAAGGGTGGCGCTGCGGTAGCCTAGGATTTTTGAAGTGAAAACTTCTTTAGCGGCGTAGTACACTTTTTTTTTGTAATGGGTAAAAAAATGTTAAACTCGCGTCAGGACACGTGACCTGATGGAAAATTCGTAAGACGGATGGAGAGTAGACAGTCGGCGCGGCGAAAATGTGTGCCTGCGCCTGCTGTTTCGTTTAGGCGGCGCAGGGCGCTTGCGCGAATGTTCGTTTTTCTGAGAGATAAACCTTTTAATGTAATATAAATTGCCATGTTTGTGTACGATAGCGCAATAAATAAATATTGTATTCTACCACATAAATGATAGTACTTTTATACTGAAAATTAAAGCAATTCGTGCAAAATTATTCCCTAACCATTCCAAAATCAAAATGCACATTCAAGTTTTCACTTCTGCCGGCACTCCCGGAGTGCAACCCGTCGTTTTTTTATTATTGTTTTACTTCAACTTAATTTGTGAACATGACATTGCAATCTGTGTTCCCCAAAACCGGGTTGATGGTTTGGATAAATTTATATTGGCTTAAATAATAATTAGAACACAGTGTCTAAACTAAACTGTCAAAATAGTCGATGAGTTTTACAGACAATAAATAAAGATGTAATAACTTTGAGACAATAAAAGTTTTATAATATTTTAACTGAGCACACTTCACTCCGTCTACAAAATCTATATTCGTATCGTCGTATTTCGTACGCCAGCTTCCTCTATTTTCACAGCTGAACACTTTTTCAACTTTCCTCTCATATGAGATGTTTCTCCTTGCCTCTACATTTCATAATTTTGAGTTACATATCAGTTCAGCCTTCGCTCTATATAGGGTAGGTGGGCGGTGTTACCCACAATAATTTTGATTAAGGAAAATTCATAAAAATGATTGATGATATCTCAGGAAAAACTGAGAAATAATAAAAAAAATGGTACTAATTAGTGTAAATGGTGGCAATTGTGAGCTGAAACTACATATATTTTTGAGTAACATCGAATTGCAAAGCACACGTTGTGTAGAGAATTAAACAGCAATTTAAGTAAACGCCACGGGAGCATAGACAATACTTTGAACTGATTTCAATGATGGCACACGAACAGCCATTGTCACTTCGATGTACTACATAACTCTACAAATTAAAAGCAAACGTAAGTTCCTACAATACCCTATTTTTCTAAATAATTTGTCATGTTAGCGAAATTAGGCGAATGATATAATGAAAAATTTACGTATTTTTTGATTGTATAGGCTCCGTGCCCACTACAGCACTTAGTGCGACTGCAAGGTTATTGTCTCGTACCGATATTAATTTTATAATCGTATAAAACATTACAAATGTGTGCGGAAGCTATCGCGTTATTCTCGGGTGTTATGAAATGGGACCTATACCTATTATTTGCAACACACTTTAATTCAGCCGGTATTATAAAAAATTTACATCTATTTTCTTAATAGAAAACTAAGAATCAATAATTTATAAGTAGATTATTTTCACTGTCATATTAACCACGGTATATATTATGTAATAATTATATAAATCTCCCTTGAAAGTTCTGTATAGTAATTATAGAATAGCGAACAGCTATTCTTCAGTTCTCGCTAACTAGAAATACATTAGTTACTACAATTGGGGCATTTTTTTAATGTAAATAATTTTATGTAAATCTGAAAAGTGAAGGCTATAAAACATGTAACTTTAAAAGGTCTCGATGATTTTCAAATATCTGTACTATAAGTCCTACTTAACTCGAATTGAATATATGAAAGTGGAAATGAATTTCGCCACATTTAATCACACGTTTACTAATAACTACCATGTTAGAATATCACTTGTAAAATCTCATACCTCACCATTTCTTTGAAAGTCTCTCGATAACAGTAGTTCTCGTTCAGTTTGGCAACTGCAGTACACGTATTCTAAGTTGACCGCTCTGAAGTTGGTTCCAAAAACGACCTGAAGTTGGGTTAAATGACAGAAAAAACGTATAACTTTGTCTCCCCCCTTCTCGTTATTCCTTCATGTAGAACCAGATATGTTGGACTCTCTTCTCTAAATGTCATTCAAACGTTGCTAACTTCACGCGAGTCATCTTGTGTACACGTGTTTCGTGTGTTGTGCCCAATACGCAAGTAATGTTTAACAAAACGTTTCATGTTTTATGGCCGGTCACTACGAATAATAATGAAATATACAATGCGACACCCCATAGAAAGCGTTCACAACATTAAAAACAATGTCCACACTAAACAACGAAACTCGAGCACTCTGTCGAGTACAAAGTAACGAAAACGTTGTGTTTCGAGCCCCTTCCGTGTACATTAACTTGCCTACACATATATACATTTATATATTAGTATAATAACATGTGTTTAAAAAATACTGTAACTACCACCAGTGGGTAATTTTCTAACAAATGTAACATGATTTTTTAATGATCTAAAGCATATTTTTTATGACCACATCATTCGGTATATTTTTTTACGATGACACAGTGAGTCTGACATTTTCTTTAATATACAGTAAAATAATATACCTATTACAGTATAATAAGAAATAACAAGTATTGTACACGATAGGGGAAGTATCAGTTACACGGTAAATATCCTAGATACCTATTAAACTTTACTTTAGAATAGACTCGTTACATGGATTATGTTGTTTGAGATACCTTCGTAACGCATCTTTGTGATATATTGCATGCACAGTTATTCTAAAACGTTTCTTGTATTCCACGTAGCAATACGATAACTATTGATCAAACTATAAAATTAATCCACAATGTATCTTTGGACATCGAGCAAGGAGTTTTAGAAAAAATATGAATGCGATCACACAAACGAATAGTGGAGCGTACGAGAAGTACGAATAAGGTGATGAAAATAAACGGTAAAGTGCGCCACAACAGTAATTTAACATGTAGAATATAGATGAAGTTATTATCCATTGCACTTTTAAAAACAATAATAATATATTTCTAAAAGTTGTCAAGAGATGTCGCCATAGGATACCAGTTCTTTAAACTCGATACGAGATGGAGCTGCTACAACTTCCCAAAGGCTAGGTATTTAGGCCTCGACCACTAAACCGTATTAAAGCGGAATCAATAATCGCAAAGATGTGAACATTGCAGTAAGATAGCACAAAGACGCGGGATGTAGATGCGCGACGCGACTAGCTCGGCGGCTGGGGGTCGGTGCTGACGATGACCTGCACCACGTAGCCCGGCGTGATCTTCGCCTCCTCAATCAACAGACGGTCACCGAGGAGCTTGCCACCGTAGAACCATCGCTGGCGCCACGGTTCGATGTTTTCTTGAGCCTGTAATTTAAAAAAAATACGTTTTGTTTTACTGACTTTCTTGTTTCAAGTCGTGTATGAATCACGTAATAAATAATACATAGCCTATCAGTAGGCCGATGGAGCCAAAAGTTTCTGAAGAAGAGATCAGGGACCGAAAGCTTAAAACTTAGACCGCTTATCCACAAGGTAGGGACACAACCTTACAAAGGTCGCTAATCAATTGTGAGTGCAAGTCGCTTCCAAGTTCCAACCGGTCTTCTTGGAAGTCAATGAGAGGACTTTGATGATGATGATGAGTGTTACTTTAAATGATAATTATTTCTGTGAGTAAATCTTTGCAGATATTTTCACAAGTTGGACTTTACAGATAGAATGAACCGGCATTTCCTAAGACTCACTGTGGGAAGAAACGCCGAAACAAAATACAGGTGTTTTTTTTAAGTTCGTAAACACTAAGTACTAATCATTAATTCAGGACTACATGTTCCTAGTTTTAGTAAGAATTTCACCAAAAGAATTCACCATGCAAGAGCGGGTATGAAGATTACATTTCACACTGCCTCGTTTTCCAAGATCGTTATGAAGGTACATCAGATACTAACTTTTTCCCATGGTTTTTCCATTCCATGGCATATACTACTAAATATCATTACACATGAACAGCCTTTAATGGTCCACTACGGGACATAGGCCTCTCCTTATAAAGGAGGTCTTGGCTTACTATACCACGCTAGCCAGACAGTTTGGTATAGGGTTTGTGTCAAGTTTTCCTTCTTTTTGCAGTGCTGGTGTCCTGCGTTGTTTTGCGCCCTTAGTCGGTTCTTACGACACCCACGGGATGAATTGGGGTAGTGGCATTCCGTATACTTAATCCGTCACTACACGGACACGCTCTATAAACTGTAGGGAACATTTCCACAGATAACATATATAATCAAATAAACCCAACAATAGATAGTTTATTTAACACTTTAAATATGTCTAAATCTAATCTATTTATCTAAATAAAACATACATATATACAATACTTTTACAGAATATATAGTTATTATATATTATAAAAACAATATCAAATTTTGCTTCTCTTTGCAGTGCGTAGTTTGCTCCCTTAGTTAGCTCTTACGACACCCACGGGATGAATAGGGGTGGTGACACTCCGTATTCTTAATACGATACTATATTAGTACACTAACGTATAAGTTTTAAATTGTTAAGTTCAGTAACAAGTCCGTTAAGTATTAAGTACGTTACTTTAGCACATGTAGGTCACCGAAGCAATTATGGTGTCCGAAATTGTATGCTATTACTCGCCACTACAGTAGCGACCTTTGTCGAACAGAAAGTTGTGTGAGCGTAGGGCTGGCAATCAACTATTTTTAATGGACCTGTTTATGTGATGTAATTGCTCCGAGGGCTACGGCAGTATGGATTGGTATGGAAAATTGGTATCGATTTGTATAACATTTCTTATTGGAGTACTCGCACTGCCCAACGCAGCGATTTCGAATTACAATAAAAATTATGAGGCACGTCCCTAAGAAACGCGCGAATAAGCACTTACTATTATTTTTTTAATTGAGAACTCACTTCATTAAATGGCACTAAAAAAAGGCTCAGCTACTTCACACAGATGAGTCTACATTTTTACCGCGTGAAACTTATAAAATAATTCTTTATTTTCAAGAAAAAATATTATCAACATTGATCAAAATTATCAAATCAACCTTTGCTATTTTGAATATTTCTGCTATTTCGTTGTTCTATTTGAAAAAAAGCTTTCTTTTAAAAAAAGTAGAGATCATATATTCCTCGTTAAATTTCTTTACTAATTCGGACCAAAAAGCCATAATCTAAGCTTAAACATCATTAATTTTTCATCGAAAAAATCTTCCGAAAAGATCGGACTCTTACGTCTGCTAATTTGTATTCTTCGAGCAAAATTTAGACGAACTAGGTATATGAGTTTTAATTTTCTCGTGCTCGAACTCGTGCACCGAGGGTTCCGTACCTACCCAGATTTTAAGTAGGTTTTCGAGAAAATTTGTAAGTTCCAAAATGTATCTTAATTTTCATTTTATTTTTTTGGAATTATTCCTTTATAAGTGCTGTAATACGTTTCTAGGTCAACGTGATTCTAGGTTTTCGACCCAAAACCTATAGGGTACTACTGGTTGACCTAGAATTGACAATTTTGGTTAAAAGCAAGGCCTTACAGCACAAGTGAGGAGAAATTTCTGAAAAATATAAAGATTTAAAATTAATGAAAATTTTGGTACTTAGGGACAGTAGACCTCAGTATCTGGTATGAATTTCAACTTGCAATGTCTTTCCGTTCCAGAGAAAATCGGTGGTGACACACGGACAGACGGACAAGAAAGTGATCTTATAAGGGTTAGGCTTAAGCAATTATTTCGTTGCTTTTTATCAAATGAGCATTTTACCGCATAACCCGGGCGGGGTTAGTTCGCCCAACTCTGGGGAGCGGGTAACATAAAAAACGCTAATCAATATATCCAAATCTATGTTTAAATCCCACTACACATCATATCGCCGATTAAGTCACTTTTGATGTGAAAAATCTAATGGGGATGGTCAGACCGGCTGTTGACGATTTATCTCACACACGTTATTTTTAAGTTATTGTTAAAAAATATTAATATATTACTTTTTGTTGCCATGCAAAAAAAAATGTAAATATACTACTATCGAATAAGCGAACGTCCGTGTGGTGCCGGATTAAGAATACATAGTGTCACCACCCCTATTCATCCCGTGGGTTTCGTAAGAGATGACTAAGGGAGAAAACTACGCAGAGCAACAGCACTGCAGAGAGAAGGAAAACTTGACACAAACCCTATACCAACTCGTCTGGCCAGCGTGGTATAGTAGGCCAAAACCTCCTTTCTAAGGAGAGGCTTATGTCCAGCAGTGGACTATTAAAGGCTGTTGATGTATAAGCGAAAAATTTGAGGATTGAAATATTCATATTCCTGGTAATAATCGAATGGGTGATATTAATTGTCAACCCTGCGCAATGCAAGACTCATGTAGAATACGCGTTCGTTGCAAAATCTCGCGTCGCACTGCTTACGTCACATATACCCATGCACCCAGCCCGCTGTACAATACACATTACGTAGGTAATTTAACGGCGGACCGCTGATACATTCAATGTGTAGTGCTCTGCGCCATTCGCACAAGCAATATCCTTCCATTGTCTTTTCTTCTTACTCACACATACACATCGCTTTCGATATGCTCACAATTTTCCCATCTTTAATTCTCAAAGTGAAAACGACATCACCCTTTTTTTGAACGACAATTTATTTGGTCTCACATCGTAATAACGAATGCTACATAGTAGGACCAAATAAATTATGGTTGCTTTGTCTTTGTCTTATATTATTGACTTTGGGAAGTCTTGACATCTGACACACAACACCATCTAGTTTCAAACTAAGCAGAGCTTGTACTATGAAAGCTAGATTGACTAATAAGAATACTTTTGTACTTTTTTTTTGTAAATACATACATATTGTACATAGGAAACACTCAAACGCCGAATTAAATATTTTCAGATCATATAAACATTTGGAAATCGAACCCGAGACCGCAGCACAGCAGTTGCACACGCTACCACTGCACCACCTAGGCAGTCAGACCTTCCTTACTATATTTTTTTCACTGTAGGAGAACAATGCTTCGACACAAATGAATCGGAGCCGTGAGGCCGGAGCTAAACCGGTATTAAACATGTCTTTCGTTGCTTTTTACCGAGCGGAGTGCCGTTAAAGGAGCCCAAACCTCCCCATCCCCTGATTCCGGAGGGTGGGGGGGGGGGAGGTTGGTGAAAGGCGACAACGCACCGGTGACTCTTGAGTTGCATGAAGGGCGGTAGTCACTTACCAGCAAGTGAGCCGTCTGCTCTTACGACCCCAATACCATAAAAACAATCTACAGGTACAGTTATTGTTCTCGTGGGACAGAACGAAATGTACATTAATTTTGTTTACCAAAACCACTTGCTTCTGTTTTGAATTTGTACGGCACGAGCGGTTATTCACCATCAATATCTAATTTAACATCCGATAGCCTTGTTTCATCTATAATTATGATAATGAATTCGTCTACACCGAGTTGGTATAGCGTCATTGTTGACACCTCCGCCGTTATGTAAGTAATTGATTATTATTGGATTGTGAAGGATTCTCGCCTCGTGTCGGCCATGTTTTATAATTTACTGCACATCGTAATAAAGACTAAATGATTAACCTATTAAGAATGTTTTTTTTAAATAATTTAATAATAAAAAAATGCCTTTAATGACCAGCGATTTATCCTACGCAACACTACCTAAATTTATGGTCACTGCTTTACTCCTATGAATTATAGCGTGATGTTTTATGGCAAATATTATTCCTCAATAAATGCTCTGTCACATACATAAAGAATTATTAGTATCTAGACCATACTTCCAGAGATTAATCGCGTTTAAATCGTAACATGTAAAAACTTTTAACTATATAATATTAGTCCCTGCAGATATGAAAACGTCTCAACAGTTTCACAGCGCACACTGATTATTTAAATATTTTTAATTGAGTGTATTGTGAGATTAAGAGAGAACAAAGAACAGCTTCCAGTACGTTCTAGAACACAAATGATTAGCTTAAATATTTACTTTTTTCATAAACACAACCAAAATGATGCAAACTATTTCATCCAAATATTTTCATTAAGTGAGAATAACCCGCGACCTTTGTCGTTTGTAAGGAGAATGATGCGTTACTGTAGTGTCGCAGAATTCATTTAAATCACTATCACACAGGAGAAAATACTTTCTATTCGATATTTTGTATATTGACACAAAAAAAGCAGAAATTCTTTTAATATATTGAATAATATATTCAACTCTCTCGTTCATGGAAATCGCTTGTTTTTTAATAGTTTTAAAACTAAGACATCGAACGGTATTGAATATCAAATGTCAGCTTAGTCTTTGAGCGAATGATATTCCTTTAGGATTTATGTATATAAGTGAAAATAAAAGAAAGTAATCGTCAAGAAGAAAATACACTAATAGATAGAGCATAAGAATATCCTCGATCAAGTCATCTCTTAAACAAAGAAAACTAAATCAAAATCGGTCCACCCGTTTAGAAGCTATGCCACAAACAGACACTACAACACAAACTAACAAAACCCTTAACAAACCCCCATAAATTACAACGCATGGAAAAACAACTTGTTTTAAGAACATAATTCAGTAATATTATTTTGATTTTATTTACTTTGTACGATGTTTAGAGGAGTAGAACTTGCTGCGGTGATTTTTTTACCTCAAAATACACTTACAACAATAAATTTGATGTTTTTTTAGAAGATTCTGGAGCCATGCTTCGGCATAAATAGGCCCGCTCGTCCGGAGTGATACAATTCCGTTTAAAGGAGCCCAAAGCGAGGAGTGATACAAGTGCGGTTAAAGGACCCCAAAGCCCGGAGTGATACAGGGGCGGTTAAAGGAGCCCAAAGCCCGGTGTGGTACAAGGCCTCAGGTAAAATGGGTTGCTTTTTAACGAGTGAGTGAGGTAACCAGAGCCCAAAACCCTCAAATTCTGGGAGGGGAGACTCAAAGGCGACTCATTTGTTACCTTTGTGTTGCAAGTGTTCACGGGTGGCAGTGGTCACTTCGCAACAGGTAACCCGTCTGCTCGTATATCATAAAACAATATTAATTATTTGTATTCGTCTTTTCGTAATTCTGTCAGTGAGTATCGACCATGTATAAAAAATGACTTACATGTAATTTGTTCTTGCACTGCGCTACAGTGTGTCTCGAGTACACGGCCAAGTCTACGTCCTTGCACGTGCTGGACAGTCGCAGCCTCAGCGAGACTTCCGCTCCTCCTTCCACCGGCTCCGACCATTCCGCCGGCGAGTCCCGCCCGCTGGCTTCCTTCACCATGTTTATAGGTGGTGATAGACAGTATATTGGGACCTGGTCACATAAGAAATGTAACAAAATTACTAACAAAAAAAAGAATTCCCTGAATTTCCCTTGCAACAACATCCCCCGATTCCTCGATGCGGTAGATATTTGACCATTTTATGTATTGAGATCACAGTCGTGTTGCAAACTTATTCTACACTAGCTTTAGACCGCGGCTCCGCCCGCGTGTTTGCCGGTTATCGCGGGAAAAAGTAGCCTATGTTACTCGCTGATAGTGTAGCTTTCCATTGGTGACTTTTTAAAATTGGTTTAGTGGTTCAGGCGTGAAATCATAACAAACAAACAAACTCACTTTTACATTTAGTCACAGAAAACCGGTGTTAAGCAATTCTTTCGTTGCCTTTCACTGAGTGAGTGAGGTTACCGGAGCCCAAATCCCCCCTCCTGCTGACTCGAGCGGGAAGGACTCCATGTGCAGCAACGCACTTGTGACTTTTGAGTTGCAGGTGTCCATGGTTGCTGCATTAGTTGCATGGTGTAGTTGCTTACCATCAGGTGACCCGTCTGCTCGTTTGCCCCCTTATACCATAAAAAAAAATAAGTATGGAAGAATGGATTTAAAGTTAAAGATAAATTCATAATAGCCACTATTTTTTTTATAAGTTAGAAGGCTAAACTGCTGACCCTGCGACCCTGACCCATCACATCATCACATCAACAGCCTTTAATAGTCCACTGCTGGAAATAGACCTCTCCTTAGAAAGGAGGTTTTGGCCTACTATACCACGCTGGCCAGACGGGTTGGTATAGTGTTTGTGTCAAGTTTTCCTTCTCTTTGCAATGCTGTTGTCCTGCGCAGTTTGCTCCCTTAGTCGGCTCTTACGACACCCACGGGATGAATAGGGGTGGTGATTCGTATTCTTAATCCGTCACCACACGGAAAACCCTGACCCTGACCCGCTGAAGCTGATATTGGAGCAGTGTAAGCAATACTTACACTCCTCAATAAATCCGTAGGAGCGATATCCCTTTTTCACCATTGATTTCCACCCTTCCTATCTATCTCCCCTTCTTAATATACTCTCAATTTCCCCATCTACTACCTAAAGTTTCCGGTTGACAGCAATAAGTTTGCCCCTTATTAGGTGACGCTTCTGCCTATTCTTCGGGTATAATTCTGAGGTCTGGGTAAAAGTATTCGGTAGTCTCCAGATATTCAATAATGATATAAATATAACCTACCATACATAAATAGTATTTTATGTTTATACACAAGTAATCAATACAACATTCAGCCTTCACTAACAGTATTTATCCACCATATACACAACTAGTACCAAAATCGATGTCCTTCCCCTCATTTTTGTAGAGGTAAATAAAGTAATGTTATACTGTCTCTTTGTTACTATAGTAGGCCAAAACCTCCTTTCTAAGGAGAGGCCTATGTCCACCAGTGGACTAGTAAAGGCTGTTGATGTGATGATGATGATGATGTCTCTTTGTTAAGTTACAATAAATCTAAGTAATCTTTGTCTCCGGCCAAAAGCTTGTGAGCCATAGTATGAAATAACTTTTACTTCCAGATTGGTTTTCTGGAAATGCTGACGTTAGCGCTATTTTTTAATATGAACATAGTATAAATCAAACTCGAAGACTTTTTATTGAGTAGGCCTTATTACAGTGCACTTTCAAACGTCAGTAGCATACAAATAATAATCATAAGAAAATACGAGAGACTAGAACAACAGACGATATGAACCTGATGACCTGATAAAAGGGCGTAAGAGTCACATAAATACATTTATAAATATCCCTATTGCAAGGCCTAACATAAACTACTCTGCTGTGACCAGATTAACGAGCCCACGACAAAACAAAATTGTCGGAGTTTAATGCGCCTTTGAATGAGTATATGGATGTGTGTAAAAGTTAACTTAAGTCAACCTGTAATATACATACAACTAGCTGACCCGCGCAACTTCGTCTGCGTCTCTCAATAGTAATAAATTTTCTCCGTTTTTGAAACATTATTCATTGGTGCTCCGCTCCTATTGGTCTTAGCGTGATGATATATAGCCTATAGCCTTCCTCGATAAATGGGCTATCTAACACTGAAAGAATTTTTCAAATCGGACCAGTAGTCCCTGAGATTAGCGCGTTCAAACAAACAAACTCTTCAGCTTTATAATGTTAACTAGCTGAACCGCGCAATTTCGTCTGCGTCTCTCAATAGTAATAAATTTTCTCCGTTTTTGAAACATTCTTCATTGGTGCTCCGCTCCTATTGGTCTTAGCGTGATGATATATAGCCTATAGCCTTCCTCGATAAATGGGCTATCTAACACTGAAAGAATTTTTCAAATCGGACCAGTAGTTCCTGAGATTAGCGCGTTCAAACAAACAAACTCTTCAGCTTTATAATATTAATAAGTATAGATGAAGTAACATCTATATAAATGGTCGAAGTACATTTGAAAGTTCATTGTTAGCGTTCAGATGCTTTACCATCCGAATCCGAAAGAGATTAAAAGAGGCAATAATCTAACTGCATCACCATCTGTCTGCAATGTTTATTTAATTTTGATCAAATAAACAAATTTACTTGAGGTAAGAAAAACAGATAAGGTGAGGAAGTTAGGTTAAGGGATACTGCAGAGCCCGGGGCTGAGTACCCGTACGCCTGTTTGTGACTGGAAAGGTAAGGGACATTAACAGCTCAATTTTTGGTATACTATGAGGATTTTATATCAACTAGGTGGGGTGGTTTGGGCGATTATAGGAATTAAATATAGCTTACTTAGGACCCATAATGTTTTTGGTTTTGATCCATGGTGCTTTCCTTTTTAATGGAGTCTCCAAATTTAATTTGCTTCTGATTAATTTTAGTTGCGGGTTTCAAGACAGTTTTACTTTTTCTGGGACTACCTGTGTCATTACTCGTTGTATTCGTAGATCACTGCTGTTGATCATGGTGTGCAGGAGTTACAGTAGTTGGCGTGTGGGAGGGATTGGTCCCAGTAAAAACAGCTACTTTCGTTCGAACTAAAATACTACCTATAATGGTGTTTATTCGTGTGATGACTTTAACCTAACGTGAATATATCAACAAAGCTGATGTCACCCGAACTTCGGAATAATACTTATGATATCACTACACTCTTGTGACAAAAATACTATTTTAATGAAGCTTACTCACACACTTACCATTCAATAATGGCTGTATTTATGTGGCACCAACTTTAGAATTCCACAAAAAATGGTAATAATATATTATTTAAGCTAAAACTTTGACTGGCCTGTTGGTCTAGTGGTTAGTGACCTCGGCTGCTACGCCAGAGGTCGTGGGTTCGATTCCCATCCAAGACAAATAATTGTGTGATGAGCACGATCGCTTGTTCTGTGTCTGGGTGTAATTTATCTATATCTATATATATAAGTATGTTTATCAGCAGCCTGGTTACCATAGTATAGGCTCTGCCAAGTTCGGGATCAGACGGCCGTGTGAGATGTGTGAAAAAAAAAATTAAGCTAAAAGTTTTGTTTCATAACGCTAAAATATTTATATAATTTTAAGTGCAGAGACTTTTTACATCTTTAAGTTACGAATAATTAACTTTTGAAACAAGTACCACCGACTAGACCAAGATAATAATAATAATAATACAATTACTGACATCAGCTCACAACGGCGAAAGTATCGCGTAACATACACAAAAAATAACTAAATTAAACACTTTCTCCTTTTGAAGTGTGTTAAAAATATACAGGTTTGACTTGACAGTAATATAACTCTATTGTCTTTTGTTCAGTGTATCACTTTTGTAGACCAACCAATTCACGGTTACGTCATCCTATAAACTCCAGATTTTTTTATTATGATACTGGAGGGCGAACGAGCAGACCTGATGGTAAGTCATTACCACCGGTCATGGACCCTTGCAACTCAAGTAGAGTCACTAGTGCGTTACTGCCCCATAAACAAGGAGAGAAAGGGTTTGGGTTCCGGTAACTTCACGCAGTTGGAGCAATGACAGAATTGCTAACAATTATATATATCATTGCCTAATATTTTGTATGCCTTTCAGCGGCACATAGCTTGTACATAATAAAATTGACATCTTAACCACCTATGTATCACAAAATTGAATAAATAAATGAAATGAATGAATGAATGAAATGAACAACAGTTCTCTCTGAGGCCATAGCATCACCATGGTCGAGCTGACCCATTTCTGCCGTAGCATGACTCTCCCACGGTAGAACATTACGACATCATCACACATATTATCGATCAATAAATTACGTCACATGAATTTTAGGACTTTTTAACCCCTCCCTCCCGTCCTTGACAGAGGTTGTCACACTTTTAGAACCCCCTCCCTCGTGATGCGGCGTCACAATTTTTTCTATTTTATGTATGTATTTAAAAATAATTAATAAATATAGATGGAGTTCGTAAATTTTAACATGTGACGTCACAAAGTGATACCCTTCCCCCCCCCGATATACGAATTCACGAAGAGGCTCACCGCCTACCTATTGTCATTAAGTGTTAGTTTCCGATAAGGTAGTGTCTACACACCTAGTCCCGAATCACCGGAAATTGATACTTAACATTACCGACGCGTTTAGCACCTTACTGTGGTGTTGCATTACAATGTGTTTCGGCTTTAGGCGTCACCCCACTACCACCACACAGTTACAAAATCATTTTTGAAACTAATTATGATGGCAAACATACCATTAATGTAACTATAACATATTACACAATTAATATCAGTAGCACATTACAGCTTTAAAAAAAAATAAGTCTCACGGTAAAACAATTATTTTAATAATTTCTAAAGTAGTTCATAATTTTGTCAGTGGACTGAAGGTTATCAGTATTATTGATTTAATAAGGAACGAATTGTATGGAAGTAATATTATCCCAGTAAATCTGTCTTATGGATATTTAATTAGAAGTGGTTGGAGTAACTGCTTTCTTAAGTTCTGGATCTTGAAGCTGAGTAGAACTCAAGTTTAAGAGTAAAGTTTAAAGAAAATATCAAGAAATTTTAAAATACTGTATGAATCTTAAGATATGATTGAACTTACAGACACACATAATTTGCTTGATCTTTGCTCAAAAATTAAACTGATTTCTGGGATAAAAACTATCCATGTCCTTTCCCAGGACTTAAACCATCTCTATACCAAATTTTATCAAAATCTGTTCAGTGACAGACAGATAAACAGACAGACACACTTTCACATTTATAATATTGTTATAGATATCTGTATAAACTGTCAATGTGGTGATGGAGTAAGAATACAGAGTGTCACCATCCCGTGGGTGTTGTAAGGGACGACTAACGGACCAAACTACGCAAGAAAAATGACACTGCAAAGAGAAGGAAAAGTTGACATAAACCCTATACCAACCCATCTAGCCAACGTGGTATAATACGCCAAAACCTCCTTACTAAGGAGAGGCCTATGTCTAGCGGTGAATTATTAAGAGCTGATGATAATAGACGAAAACTGGTACTATTAGTTTGACCGAAAAATAATAAATGACCTAAAACTATAAGCCTTATCAAGTTTGAAATCTAAATTAGAACTTAACTTTTAAAGTTAGGGTAAAAGTCATGTTTTATTAAGACAATGCACCCACACAAAGCTAACGTTGCAGGTGTTCAAGAAGTTACGTAAGAGGCTTACACTTGTAACAACTCAATGGGATGAGTGTTTACAACTAAACTTGTAAACACTCATCCCGTTTTCAATGAATTACTTGAAAAATATCACACACTTGATAAGATAACTATTGAACACAGCCCGTCTTACTAGTATTATAAACTAGCTGTACCCATACACTGGGACACATTGTGGTTTTCTTGATGAGAAGTAAGGAACAAAACTGATGCAAAAATAGTCAAAAACTATTTTTGATGTGGTTTGTACATCATATAAAAATTTCAGGTCAATTGGTGGGCCTTTTTTATTATTTTTAAATACTCAACTAATCTTCATAGAATTTTACATAAAATTTACATTGTTCAGAATTTGGAAAAGATGTTGGTTCTTTTGAGTTAAAGAATTCTCAACAAATTGGTTGTCAAAATCTAGAAGTTGGAACAAACCCTGGAGGAATGGCTAGTTGTGCTCCACTAAACATTACTACATGGTATAGTGTATACTAGTCATCTGTATTAGATTGCAGACCGCTGTTAGACTGTCCATTGTAGTATTTCTTAAAAAATTTTTAGTTTATAAAATACTATGTTGTTGGACAACAAATATTATCTATCTATGCATATCTGTACATGCAACTCCACATAGAATAAAATAGCTCCCGTAGGCAGCTACCCCCGCTTGGATTTCGGTAACCGTCATGGTTTTTTTGCCTAGATTATATGGCATAAAATTTTTTGGCAAGCTTTTTAACAATATTTGTTACATATATTTGAGTCAATTCACATAAAACAATTTTGAATTATACACCTAAACTTTGCTCAAAAATCACACTATCTATTAGTGAAAACCATACAAAAATCCATTCCATAGGTTTCAGTTTAACACATTCGTACAGACAGCAGACACGGCCGGGGGACTTCATTTTATAATATATAAGGATACTATTTTTGGTGTGAAACATTTAATGCAGAGGATCAGACCAGCCATATTATCATCTCAGTCTTAGAATGACCACTTCTTAAGGCCTTACGTCTGCCTTGTTGGTGGACATCCTCATCTTAATAACAAAGAGCTAGTAACCATCATTCCGATTATGTCAAATTAACCCTACACATATATAAATATCTTAAGAGACAGGAGATCAGTGTACCTAATATAAATAGAAGACATTTGAATGGCTTGTTGGTCTAGTGGACAACAAACCTAACTGCTAAGCCACTCCAAAATTCTCATCCAATTCAATTTACATTTCTACACAATATGCAATTCACTTCAAGTATTGTTACCTCGAAACACAAAAATGCAAAAACAATGGTATCTATATTTATACATATAACTTTAAGTTGTACACTTTAAAAACTCAAAAACTCAGTTTAAATTTTGACATGTAATAGTCTGAAATACTTCAAGGATTGTTACCTTGAAACAACATAAAAATGCAAAAACAATAGATAAACCATTGTTTTTTTACATTTTTGGATTAGTTTTGTTCCTTATTTTTTATCATCGCAACCACAATGGACCATAGTGTAGCATGGGAAGGTGAAACTAGTATGATACAATTATATGTCTTCTAGTACAAGAAAGTTTTTGAAATAAAGTTGTATGTGGAAAAATCTGATTTTTTTTTAAATAAAAATATACCTTCCATAATTTGGGCTAGTTTTTTTAAATCTTTTTAATGATTGATTTAAAGTGAAATAAATATTAAGTCTGAGTCTATGTTATGAATAATCTGATGGATTATTATAAGTATGAGAGCCATTCAAAAACCAAACATCATAAACAGTTAGTAGCTTACATAAACATTTTATACACACAAAAATGAATATATTAGTAACAGTACCTGGTATCTGGTTCCCCATTCATCATAGCACTCCGTGAGGTAACCATTTGGGACTGACACACTGGCGCCGTCAAGGATAGCCTGCGCCAGTTGGAAGTCCATTGCTTCTGCAGCTACTGCGGCAGCCCGTAGTGCGTCCCAGATCTCTTTTCTCCCTTCGAACGCCGGCGCTGTGTCCCAAAATTCATCTCTCTTACTTCGTAACTGTCCTTCCGTTAATGGCACGTCCGATTTCCATCGTATAGTCTCATGAGACAGCGACTGATTTTTCCTCAGCCCACCTAAAACAAAGAGTTATGAGAACACGCACTCGACGTCTCCACGGCAACAGATGACCGTTTACCCTACCCGAATTGGGCCGAGACACCGTGGCCGAAGACTCTTCCATGTGTCCACTTCCACTTCTTGTTATTCCAATGCAACCTCCCATTATGACCACATTCTACAATTGCTCATTTAACAAATATTTACAAAAAATTATTAACAAATAACATTTTTATCTTCTATACGCTTCTGTCAAAAAAGATTAGCTGTATATGTTATGTTTATGCTCTGAAAGGTCGCCTTTAAATTAAGCACGTTCATTGTGACATTAACCAAATTGTATTTATTTTTAGAGTTATTATATTTCAGTTTGTGAAAGATTGATCTTTAAAGCAAATGCAATGAAATTATGTTTTCATATAATCATGTAGTTTACAACCACCCAGATATTACGAGATGGAAACAAAACGCAAAACAGAGAAATGTGCTTTATATTTTTTGCAATGGCAATATATTTTTGTTTACGTTTAGATTCGTAACAAATTTAAACAAAAATTAAAATTACAATAAAAACACAATCTACATATTAACTTATTTTAAATTATTTTAAATAGTGTCCGTGCCGGATTAAAATTTTAAAACGTACATACTTACCTTATTAAAATATTAATAAAAATAATATGTTAAAATTTAAAAATCAAAACAAAACGCACTGGTATGACAGCTTGTGTAAAACAAATGTCAAATTCTGTCTTCAACTGTTGATCGTCTTGTTTTGCTTTGCTTGCCATTATTAGCAAACAATACATCAAATAAACCAGAATATTAATGTAATAGAATAGTAATGCAATGAATAAAAACGAATTAAATATTGAAAATTATAAAATAAAAACCGTAAGTTATGAAACATGTCATACTATTAGTCAACTTAATGTACAATTATTTATACAATCAGATAATCTAGTTTTTATCTCTAGGCTCCACCGACTGCTTACTACGTATCAGAATTTATAACGAAAAATGAAGAAGAGTCAATTTTGTCCAGTATTTATGCTGCCCCAAAGCCAAAATGGACTCAACTGTCTAACAGAAGACTACAGAATTGGGGTGGAATACCGCATAATAAAGGCATGATAGCTGAATCAATACCGAGTTGGCTTGATGTGTATCTAGAACAAATACATAATCTTAATGTAATGGGTGGGAATAGGCCCAATCACGTGTTAGTGAATGAATATCTCCCGAGACAAGGTATAATGGCACATTTGGATGGCTCATTGTTCTATCCAACTATCACAACAATATCTGTCGGATCTCACACAGTGCTCAAGTTTTCAGAGCCTGCTGTAGATGATGCAGATAATCGTAACCCCATATTTTCCTTTCTACTTGAGCCTAGGAGTTTACTAATCCTTCAAGACGAACTATTTAATAACTATTTACATTGCATAGAGGAGCTGAGTGAAGATATACTGGATGACTCCGTAGTTAACTTAGAATGCTGTTCTAATAAATATATACCGGGTGCACGATTAAAACGTGACACCAGAATATCACTTACCATACGACATGTACCAAAAACAACCGCATTTAAAATTAATATTGGAAATAAATAATAAAACTTGCAAGTAACTTATTTGTATTGTCTACAAAGAGCTTTTTAATACTTACTTTTAAACTATTCTGTGGATTGAAGCTACCATTGATCCCCTACAAAACACAAACCCATTCCTGTATTAACACAGAAAACCGGTGTTAAGCAATTCTTTCATTGCTTTTAACCGAGTGAGAGGTTACTGGAGCCCGCAACCCCCTCCTGCTGACTCGAGCGGTTTGGTTGCAGGTGTCCATGGGCTAATGGATGTTTATGCCCACTTTGGATGTCCGACTATGAACTTAGGCCATTTAATGTTATGCTAAACAGTAAAGAAGTTTGTTAAAAATTTTCAATGAATATATCCTGTATCCTGAAAAACTTAACCAACATAGTACACCTTGCAATGGTAAAAATGGGCTCAGTTTCTGGATTTGGACTCATTATTCTGGATGGAAGAATACAGTAAGGGTATGCAACGGTTGGACCAAATGTTTGTATGATCTGCAAATATTTGATTCGGAATTTGGGTGTTATCTACGTATAATATGTGTGTAGTCACAAAAAAGTATTTAAGTATTCTATCAGTCAATCTAGCTTTCATGGTACAAGCTTTGCTTAGTGTGTCAGATGTCCGAAATATTAGTATTATTACGTTGACACATGTGAATAGTTGAGCTAGTCTAGCTACTTCCAGTAATACCGTTCTGGGGCGTTCACAAGCTTCTAGCAACGACCCGCTCGCAACTACGAGTAGACATGTTATTTGCATACTTTTGATCCAAAACTGTTTTCGGGAGATGAAAAACCTTTAGTACGTACGTACGTAACGTAGTTGGGAATCCAACCTGTCTTGAAGTGAACTATTCCGTTGGAACCTCTTTAGTTCTTCCTACCCAATTTTTATAAAAGAACAATAGATATCTGTTATTAATTGTAATTCTTAAACTGTTTACCTACTTTAAAACTAAATCACCATATAAAAAAAAATGTTTAGTGTTAAACACACTAAACATTTTAAAAGGATCTAATAATAGCATCATTAAAAAACCCCCGACACTAAGAAAAACTTTAGAAGACAACAACTGCTCATTGATACTGTTCTAATAAGCCCAAACATTGTATATATGCTGTAATTTTCTGAGGAGTTGGCTATCCCGCAGACTACTTGATGCAGCAGCAAGTTCCAAGTTGACATGTCGTGGAAATACCATCTAAGTAACAGTACAACAAATTTCAGATTAATAGGACCTGTGGATTTTAGTGAGATCTCTTTATTACCAAAGACGTGATCTGATGATCTTCAAAATTTATAGCTAAAAACCATCTTGATCACATCGGCTTTCAAACAAACAAATCTGCATCAAAATTGGTCCATCCGTTCGGTAGTTATGATGCCACATATAGACAGACAGATATGCAGATACACAGGTTAAACTTATTACACCCCTTGTTTTCCGTGGGGGTTAAAAATACTTATCACATTTTACAGCTGTCTGATCCCAAACTAGGCATAGACAGACAACAATTGATGGTGTTCATCACAATTATTAGTCCTGGATGGGCATCGAACCCACGGCTTAGCAGTCCGGATCGCTTACCACTAAACCAATAGGCCCGTCAAAGTGACAAGGCCTTCCATCTTTTGATTAAATTTTACTGCTTTCAGCTTATGTTCTAACTTTTAAACTTTCGCGTTCCATAGTAATACAATTATGTTCATAGGAATTATTGCGCTCATGTTAAGTATTAAGTAGGTACATACCGTGGTCACACTCTGACTAAAAGTCAGCCTGTAACCACGGCTAGTGCAATCTGGTCGAAGCAAAGGCAATTTAAAGGTATGAACTTAATACTTATAGTACGAGTAATTACATAGCTTATGTTCTGGCGAGATGGGAATCCCTCACTTATCTCACTTTGTTCTACCGCATGACTTTCTATTAACATATGATTGCCAACTCTGGATTGTTACAGAGTTGGCAGGTAGGATAATTAAAGTATCACCTCCTCAGCTTTAATTCCAATTTTAAAGATAATAAAAGCCCATTATATTTTTAATACCACATCTAGATGGCATACATTTGTATGTCAGTATTTAGTTATTAGTATTTTTTGATATATTTTTTCTAAAATGAGATTTCATAAATTAATTACGTATTCCAAAATTTTCCAAAGGGCATCAAAGTTTGATATTATAATTATTAGATCATGTTCCTGTACATCGAAAGCTCCGCCGAAAGGTGATACACCATCAAATGTGGATAGTCGCAAAGTAAGTGTTTTTAGACATTTTTGGGATGTAAATGCATATTTACAGCATAAAATACCGTAACTGTGACCAGTTATTGTTTCTCTTGTAATGCCCTCGCCATTCATAGGGATAATATTCAGGTATCTTTGACTCTGAGCTACTGCAGTAAGAGTCCCATTTTTTCATCCGAAACCTATTTTCCCTAACTCTTACGCCCTATCCATTTTCCTTTAAACCAATTTAACTTCTTTTTCCTTCTTTTTTTTATTAAAAAGAACTAGTATTAGATATATTAAAACCGTATGTGCCGTATGTGTAGTAATTTTTTTTTTTTTTGCGATGTGAACAATACTGCCACGTCACCGTACTTTTATCATAAAAATCCCCTTCAATATTTCCAAACCTTTAATCTACAACTACCCTCTTGAGTACATTTTTATTTGGTTAAATGTATCATTACAGTATAAATATTAAATACATTAACACAAATTTCACATAATTTTCAAGTTTACAACGCTTTATCCTGTTTGAAAACCAGGGTTGGCGATGGCGATAAGTAGGTAGCCAGCTATAGACGACACGAGCCAAAGCAGTATTTTGTAGAATATAATAATAAGAATAGAATAAATAATAATAATAACATGACAAATCTCACACATGGCCCCTCAAACAACGCAAAGGTCAGTACTATACTAACCAAACTCAACTGTTTAACTGGGCCTCTGGTTTAAATTATTGTTTCGTTTTTTTTCAACGAGTAAATAGGTTACAAGAGGAGCAATCCTCCCTCTAATACGGAGGGAGCACTTAACGGGCGGTAACGTACTTATGTCTCTTGAGTTAGAGGTGTCTATGCGTGGAGGTAGACACACCGTGGGGACCTATGTAAAATGATGGAAGGTGATCACTGGAAAGGGATGTTTCGGGGATCACCTGTGTCTGATCCGCAAGGAGCCAACGCCTGAGTGCCACCACTGCGATGGCCAGGACGTGGACACGGCTTTCCACACGCTGGCAGAGTGCCCGGCGTGGGTTGAGTTGAGGCGAGACCTCGTGGCGGCCTTCGGAGTGGGAGTTCTCTCGCTCGATAGCCTGATTGCGGTTATCGTTCGGAGCTAGAGTGCGTGGAACTCTGCCGTCTCCTTCTGCGAGCAAGTTATGCTCGCGAAGGAGACAGCGGAGCGGGACCCGGAGAGGTTTAGAACTCTCCCGGCCCGCCGGGCCCGGCAACGGGCTAGGTACCGCAGGCGACTCAGGCGCCGGAGGTCGCAGAACGATCTCCGTCCTCCATAAGCGCAGGCATGGGGGTGACAGGTGAGGCCATCTGTCACAGAAGCAGGCCGGGGTGGCGGCGAGCACTTTGCGAAGCGCGCTCGCTTCCAGGGAGCAGAGGGAACATGGGGTTCCCACACAGGAGGGGTCGTCTACCTGTTGTTGTAGATGGCCCGAGGTATGTCGGGGCACCAGGGACTCCCTTTCTAGGGTATGGTTCCCCGGCTATTAGTACCCGAGACGGCGTGCGGTTTTAGTCGGTTCGTGTCCGACATGCCACCGATAGGTGGTATCCGAGGGGGTTTCCGCACGGAAAATAAATAAATAAAATAATGGGTCGACATAAACGAAAACTGATTTTACGGTCGATGAGTTCTAATTTCTTATTTGAAACTTTCAAGATACGGTATTAGTAGTGGTACGTGTACCAGCTTGTTATAGGAATGATTAATATTTTAGTAGGAAGTATCAATGTTTAAAAAAAAAACTGAATAAGTCGATAAGCATGCAGTAATTTTGACTGTGGGGGTCCGAAGTATCAGCTCATTTCAGAAAAGGCGTCAATTGCCCAAAATAGTTTTGGAATCACTGATCTAGACGCGACTTTCACAATGCAGCATGTGGTAATTATATTGAAGTAAAGACTGTGGGTCCACGCAGAATTGTAACACATGCACTACCCGCTGCGCGAGATTACTATTGATTATCTGTCCAAGGGGCAACCCCACAGTACTTTATTTCTCAGTGGGCAAGAAGGGGCTCTGGTAAAATCGGGCAGTGGCATTTCGCTTCCTACTTTATGTTTTTGAGCTCCTGTGGCCTCTTTAACATTCCAACGACTAGTCACACATACCTCTTGGGTATGTAATTACAGTATAAAATGGCGTGTCATGTAACCTTTCACAGAAAGGCCTCGTTCTCGGCGTATATGAAAATAACAAGCAATATTGCCTGACGCCGGCCGCTGAAGAACTCAACCAGAAGTGCGGTGGTAAAATATGTAAATATTTGAATGAGTAAGTAAGAGTATTGTTGTTCTTCATATAAATTTTATATTTCTCGCAGTCTACTTTATAATATACTTCAAAATTCAGTTTTATTTGTACCCATGTACCCGTTTATCCCATTTGAAGGAAATGACAAATTAAGGATTTAAGAATACAGCTTGTTTCAGTTCAGTAGGCGCATTTAAGTCGGTAATACTTTTTTAAGTCAATTAATTCTATAATATTTCAGAAAAACCTTACACATATTCTCTTACACTGACTGTTTTCTATTATAACAATAAAAATGTTCACTAGTTTTCACTTGCCTGAAGTATGAATGAAATCATCGCAACGATACTTTCCACAGTTTCCACCAAGGAAGCTCTCTATAAAGTTTTTTCATTTATTTCATTTATTTTAAAAAAGACAACTCCCGCATTAGGAATATATCCTGTGTCGCGGGGGACTTTACAAACATACATGAAACGGACACAAAGAACACCCAGACTCAGAACAACAATTTGTGGATCACACAAAGTGTCGTCCCATGTGGGGTTTGAACCCACAACACTCGGCGTTGTAGGAAGCGGCGTGGTGACCGCTTAAACCACTACGCCATCCGTGCAGTCAGTGTGCAGTGCAGTCAGAAAGTGGCCTTCTGATGAGGCTACTAATCAGGCAATGTGGTTATTTGTTGATTATTTTTGTCATACTGAGAGGAAGCTTGCATTCGTACGTATAACAGTGTCGCAGTTCAGATATGTGACGCGTATAAACGAGATTTTCTATTACTTATTTCTTGCAACAGACTATCAGGTGAGATGAAAATGGGGAGGGCTTTTGTGGTGACAGACCTGTTACCTGAGTACTCCGCGGTGGCTCTCTCGCTGCTCGGACCCAAAGGCTGCACCTACAATGAACTGGAGTCGATAGATGAAGACAGGGTAATTAAAATAGGTTTTGCTTATGATTCTGCATAAAACATACCATATTAAGTTTTGAATTAAAGTTGGAATTTTAAGCTTTTTTAGGAGACTGGTGTGTTTGGCTTTCTTAACCACGCGCTAAAATAAGCAGGTATACTCATAGAACTATAAAAGGAGATTAGATTATAATAATTAAATTCTACCACATTCTCACAACGCCATCTAGTCCCAAACTAAACAAAGCTTGTACTATGGCTACTAGACACCTGATATAAATACATAGGTATATAATGTTTTTTTTTTGTAAATACATACTTACTATACATAGAAGCATCCAGACCAAATCAAACATTAAATGTTCATGCACACAAATGTTTGACTTGAGCGGGAATAGAACCCGCGACCTTTGGAATAGCAGTCCGTTACACAAACCACTACGCTATTCGGTCGTCGATTACTGGTTGATTTGGAGCTGCATTGTTAAAGTCAATTTTGATGTTTGCTTACTTGCTTCTTTCAGCTTGAGAAGACGGTTTTGGGACTGTGTTTGTTAATTAACTTACTAATAAAGACTATTTGAATCGGTCTATCAAAAATTATAGGGGTTCATTGTGTTCAATTTTCCCAGAAGGTTATAAATTACAGGAGAATATTCGCTGGTGCGTTGGATCCGGTGTGCGCCTGCTTTTGATGCGTGGTTGCGGATCTATCGACATCGACACCGTCACGGCTCCTGATGCCGCCGCCGAAGCTGCTGAACTTGCGGCCTGGAGGTACTGTTTAACCTTAACTCATGTTAATCACTTTGGACAATGTATAGAGATTGCGATAGGTAACTAGATTATGTTGCTTGCGATGCCATGGCCGGGACAGGGTGGCGCATTTGTGAGGAAAAGCACCCTGTTTGCCCTAAGCGATAGCCAATCGTTATGATTATTACAAAATACGATACCTCTAGCTGAGCACTCCGTGACGTTTGTTATCCCTTTGTCAATAAAATTTCCAATCACACAACCAAAATGAATCTTAAAAAAAATAGTAATCATCATTAAGTTACATTAGGTACACGCTACGTTAACTTTTTCTCAGATTTAATATATTCAAGTCGTCAAATCGCAAACCGAAGTGCCATGTACACCCGTACGGCAAAGGTAAAGGTAAACTGTGGGAGCAGGGCTCCATCCGCGCGAGGGCTCAGAACTGGGCGCGGTACCTCTCGGATATGCCCGCCAACAGAATGACTCCAGTGGATTTGGCACAGGTATATTTTGTGTCTCTCGTTTTCTAGTTGATTGAGTAAATTGTTAAAATAATATATTGCAGTCGTTTTTAGTAATCATTTTTCATCTTTTTTTTGTTGCCAACTCGTTTGGAACGGCAATTGTTTTCTTTCGAACGCATATTCGGAGGAAATAGATTGCTGTCTCAAATATAAGCAAGTAACACTGTATACTTTAAATTGAAAACGACGATGTAATGTATACCGAACAATAATGTACAGCGAAATGTGTAATCGCAACTGGCACCCACAGGACAGGCTTGCCTAGTGTGGGGCCACCGGCAATGTATCACATATTTTGTACTTTTCTTTTTGGTAATAAATGATATATTATTATATTAAACTAGCGGACCCGCGCAACTTCGTCTGCGTCTCTCAATAGATTTTCTCCTTTTTTGAAACATTCTTCATTGGTGCTCCGCTTCTATTGGTCTTATTGGTATAGCCTATAGCCTTCCTCGATAAATGGGCTATCTAACACTGAAAGAATTTTTCAAATCTGACCAGTAGTTCCTGAGATTAGCGCGTTCAAACAAACAAACAAACAAACAAACTCTTCAGCTTTATAATATTAGTATAGATTATATAATACTTTAAGTACCTATCATTTATAATTAGCTATGTTGACACTAATCATAAATTTATGTTACGTTGCAACTAAATGGGTATGTATATACATACCCATTTAGTTGCAACGTAACAAGTATACCTATACTTGTGATGTTTTAAAACAAGCTGTTATAACTATTACACTATTTTATTGCCATTAAAACAGTAACGATTACATGTAGCACACGTTAGTGTCAACGAAGTGATCAGAAACAGAACCAAGGTAACGGACATCAGTAAGCTGAAGTGTCAGTGGTCCGCAGAACCGATAGCCACTGGGGTAGTGGAGTTCTGGGATGGTGAGTGTGTTTAGGGAATCGAAGTGGCACTATAATATTATTGAGTTAGAAGTATTTAAGTTGAACACAAAAAAAAAGTCCCAATTTTTTTTACGTCAATATGTCACAAACGCTCGCAAATGTTTTTGACACGGGTTCACAGATGTTATGTTATGGTTATCACAATTATGTTTACCTACTGTGTTAGTCAGAGAACTGAATAGTTAACTCTGGTCGGACAGGCGGCCCTGGACGTGCTGTGCCCTCTGGGCGTAAAGGTGAAAGCTAACGACCGCGAGTGGATCACCGCGCAGCGCATGCAGGCGTTCCTGACGGTGGCGCGCGGCTCGTGTCACGCGCCTATGTTCCTCGAGTTGGACTACCGCGGCACGTCTGAAAACGTACCGCCAGTGCTCATTGCCGCCAAGGGAGTCACCTTTGACAGGTGCGCTCTTTACAGCTCTCAGGATAACATCGAGTGGTCTACAGAAGAGAGAGAAAATTATCTTCATGACAGTATTCCATTGCCGCTAGGTATACTGCCTTATACTTGAAATTATACGCTAAAACTAAAAAAAGGTTATTTACCTATTTTAATAGATTTTTACTACACGTATAGGTTATTATGAGTAGATATTCAAAAAACATTATATGATTATTTATGTATAAATGAACTATGATTAAGGCCCATTTACTTGTTACAATTCTGTCCTGTCTAGAAAGAACACTACACTCGGAACAAAGCGCGCGCAATTGCGATCTTCTTTAGGATAGAGGAATTTCCCCATTTTATTCCAAGAGCCACGAGAGAGGCGAGATGGCCACTAACACATATTTATCTTTTTAATGTATGTGAACAGCGGGGGTCTATGTTTGAAGAAACGCGAGTCAATGTCGGAGAACCGCGGCAGTATGGCCGGCGCTGCGGTCGTGCTGGGCGCTCTCAAGGCTCTCGCTGAACTAAAGGTACTACCTAACTACCTTCTATTCCTATAGACGTACCCGAGACTTAGTTAGAAAAAGGTTTGCTTGTCCTCATATAACAAACACAGACTTTAAGGCCATTTTGTTTGCCGAGGACAAGTCAAACTATGAATTTACTACCAATCATGGAACAGGTAATTTTACTTCTTATTAATATCAATTTGTTGGGCGACGGTGAACTAGATACAAACATCTTGCCTGTTCGGTGAATCTTTTGTATAGAATGGAAATCCGTTCATCGACAACCCCACATACGATCATGATCACAAAAAGTACCAGTTAAACATCTCTTTAAGCCCAATCAACATTGACTTTTAATGTCGTGTCGTCAAAAGACGTCTAAAACTTGCACTAGTCCTCACTCCTTGGCCATCTAAATTTAACAACATCATCATCACCACGGCCTAAAAGGTTATCGGAGGTCCAATCCTCCTAAACCCTCCCCCACCCCCCTCCATGAGTTACAGGTGTCCATCGGCGGCGGTAGTTACTTTTTATTTTCCTCCTTTTTTTTAATTTTTACAGGCTAAACCCATGGAAACCTGATATAATGGAAGTAGGATACTGTTTACCACAGCAGCTTACACTAATTAATTATAAACACAATTGATAAAACATGGCCTGTGTAAACTCACTCAACGTTCATGAAAACAAATCTACCTTCTAACCGACTTCAAAAACAAAAAAGAGAAGGTTCTCAATTAGACTGTATCCGTACTCGTCTGAAACGCTCTCCCTCTAGAAATCAGGATAGCACCCAGCCGACTCTCGTTCAAGATGAAAGTTCGAGCTCGCATTCTAGATACCCTAGCAGATTCGTTACAACCTTAAAGTTTTATATATTATTAATATGTAGGTATATGTATGTATGTAACTAGGTAAGTATTTATGTATGTGTATGTATTTGGTACGTATGTATATTTATCGCATTGTTTCTGTCTAACTTCTTTTACTTTACATATCATTCTCACCTAGTCACACATTTCAGCACCACTCTAAGGTGGGACCCTGACTGGGAGAAAATGCCTGGGGCATTAAGACCGCCATTGTACAACTCATACTTGTGCATAAAGAATTAAAATAAAAAAATATATTTTTGTGTAGAACATAGTAAAAAAAGCAACGAAGAAATGTCGTTTTAAACGGTTCGTGTGGCTACCCTGCCCGCAGGTACCCATAAACGTGATTGGGTGTATCCCACTGTGTGAGAACATGGTGAGTGGGCAGTGTATGAAGGTGGGCGACATCGTGAAGGCGCTAAACGGACTCTCGATACAAGTAAGTGATTTTATTGTTTTCGGAGCGAATTTATTTAAGGCTTCGAAAACCGGAGTCGAGCAAAATCTTTCTTTGCTTTGTACCGGTAGAGTGACGCACAGCGCTGTCACAGCGTCGAACTTCAAACTAAGTTCGTTTGAAATTCGACGCTACAGCGCTGTCACAGCGTCGAACTTCAAACGAACTTAGTTTGAAGTTCGACGCTGTGGCAGCGCTGTTTGCAAGGCTGTTTCCTTAGAAAATAGCACTGCTGGAGCCTCCTGTCTTTTTGATTTTCGACTCAAACGGCGGCATCGTACTTGTGGTTCTTGGGTTAAAGGTGTTTAGGTGGTTATTGGGAGTAACACAGAAAGATGATGATGAGTGCTTATAGTTATCATATCAAACTCTAAACTATTTAGTGTATTAAATATAGATATAGGTACTAGCTTTTGCTCTCGACTCCGCCCACGTGTTTGTTGTTTATCGTGGTAAAAAGCCTATGTCTTTTCTCAAGAATCAAACTATCTTCATACCAAATTACATCTAAATCGGTTCAGCGGTTATTGATTCGCCATACAAACTTCCATCCCTCTTTTCACCCCCTCAGAGAATTATTTCTGGGATAAAATCTATCCTGGAAAAGGACATAGAATAGATTTTATCCACATAGGATAGTTTGAATCAGGATTCAAACTATCCTATGTACTATACTATAACTATACTATCCTCTGTACCAAATTTTATATAAATCGGTTCAGCGCTTTAAGCGTGAAAAGGTAACAGACAGACACACTTTCGCATTAATAATATTAGCATAGATGTACATACATTTCATCTATGTTACTTGTTCTTTTTTAAAGGTTTACTAGCAACCGAAATTACTAGTATTCCCGTTAACCCCTCCCGCTATAGCTTAACTTGCTTGTGTTCGTAGTGGGTTCACGTCGGTAGTGTACTGGTCAGGATTCGAACTCACGACCTCTTGATCACAAGTCTACCACTAGGCTACCGCCGCTTTTAGATAATTGTACGGCGTTACGGTTTTCATTTTATTTTTTAACAGTTTTCTGACGCGTCAAAGAATTACTGCACTTAGGCCCTCCGGGTTCCAGAGGAAACTTGTAGTACCACAAAATTGTTGGTTTCAGATAGAAAATACAGACTATGAGGGTCGGCTGATGATGGCTGACGCGCTTGTCTACGGTCAAGCTATTTACAAACCTTCGTTGGTCATAGACGTGGCCACATTCACACGTATGTGGATAGTATTACTTTACTATAATTTGATTGAATTATGTGTTTTTATTTCTTTTTGATACACCCTCAGTGTTTAATCCTTACAGTAATTCTTACAGTTACATTTATGACAGTCCTTTTTAACGGTAACTTGCTGACGCGTATTGTCGTCAGCGTCTTTCAAAAGGAATAAATGTTATCCATTGATGCTCCGCTCTTATCAGTATCATTATCGGTCGTAGCGTGCCTCATAGCCTTCCTCAATAAATGAAATATTTAACATTAAAAGATTTTTTCATTATCATCAGCCTATCGCAGTCCACTGCTGGACATAGGGCTCTCTCATTGCACGCCATTTAGATCGATTTTGGGCTTCTAGCATGCAGCTCGCAGGCTTTCATTACGAACCAATTATTTCTGGGAATAGAGCATTCAATTAAAGAAATAAAAAATCTGTAGTTTTATAATACTAGTAAAGATTTTTTTGTTTAATTTGTCAACGTCTGTGACGAATTACTTAGATTCAAAAAATATTTCATCATAATATAAGTGAGGGAGGCCACGATTAGTGAGTAGTGCGAGTGAGCGCGTGGTGCGTGGTGTGCGCAGAGGGCGTGCTGATGGCGACGGGCGGCGGCGCGTTCGGCTGCTTCAGCAACAGCGAGCGCGCCTGGGCCGCCGCCAGGGCCGCCGGCGCCCGCTCCGGCGACCGGCCCTGGCGCTTCCCGCTCTGGAAGTACTACCAGAAGCAGATCACCAGTCAGTACCCTCAGCTTAGAAAAGTTCTACTTAGAAAGAGATTTATTTGTTACGTATTTACTTGAACTATAACTGATTTAACTTCCTGTTCGACTGTACGATCTGCCCAATAGATAATTAATTGAAAACAATGTACATGCGTCCAATAACATGCATATAACGACGTGTATCGCTCGAGATCAATGAGAAATTAAATTAATTAAAAAATTGCTGAAGCTAGAAAAACGGAGACGACAAAATTAGGAACGTTTATTTAGTAAGATTTCTTTAGGACTCGATACCGTCGCAATTTTTTCAAGCGATGAGGACAAAATAAATGTGTAGGTATGTCAACATTAACCACATTCACTTCGGTATCCTAAATCAAATTATTAATCATCGTCCTTGCGTCAACAGCCTTCAATAGTCCGCTTCTGGACATGGGCCTCTTCTTAGAAAAGAGGTTTTAGCCTACTATTAACTCTACCATGTTGGCGAAACGGGTTCGTTTCAAGATTTCCTTCTCTTTGTAGTGCTGTTGTCCTGCGTAGTTTGCTCCCTTAGTCGACTCTTACGTTACCCACGGGATGAACAGGGATGGTGACACTCCGTATTCTTAATCCGTCACCACACGAATTTTATATGTATGTAATATAGGTTATTAGCATGACAATCCTAAAATATATAATCATAGCATCGAAGTTGTTCTCTCCGGTGTCTAATTTGTATCTTAAAATTCTAGATGAACCATCCGTGGACTTAAGAAACAAAGGCTCCGGACATGCGACGCCTTGTCTCGGGGCTGCTTTCTTGAGGGTAATATATGTTTGTGTTTCTAAAAAAATCAAATCATAACTATAAACACCACAGTAAGTATGTTCCAGTTATTCGTTTTAGGTACTTAAGTAATGTTGTTTGAGCTTTAGATTGCTTATTGTTAATGGGTTTATGTACCTATTTGCGTTCACGAAAATAACAGTTTTAGGGATTGACTTACTAGATTTTACTAAGGACTCCTATCTGTTAAAGTTTGAAGAAATCAGAAACTCTATTTAGTAAGAAAATATCTGTTATAAAATTCATGACATGTCTTTGGGCGCAGATATGACGACTATGATGAAATACCCGAACTCAATCTGGCGTAATTTTTATCAACAAGTCATACATGAAGAACGTCCTATGTAAAAATCAACTCTATCCAGGGTCTATCACGTAACCACTTCAGCCATAACTTGATAATAAAAATCTGACACGTCTTTAAGACTGCTCTTTTGCGAAACTGGTTACAGTTTCAAATAGATTTCTAGACATCCCATCAGTTTTTTTTACTGACCTTTATTATAATCCTTAAGAATATAACATTAACCATTTGGTTGTTCGATTTTACGCCTTAGCTGATCCAACTGATAGTCATTGCACGTACACTTTACCTGCGATACAGAAAGGCCCAGTGGGTTTTTCATTCAATTAAAAGTATCGGTTCCAAATAAGAAATCTTATAATGTAGGTATTAAAGACAACTCCCGCATTAGGAATATATCCTGTATCGCGAGGGACTTAACAAACATACATGAAACGGACACAAAGAACACCCAGACTCAGAACAACAGTTTGTGGATCACACAAAGCGTCGTCCCATGTGGCGTTTGAACCCACAACACTCGACGTAGTAGGAAGCGGCGTGGCGACCGCTTAAACCACTACCCCATCCGTGCAGTCACTATTAATTAATAATCATTACCTTGGAATGAGTCAAAAAACTTTGATCTGACCATGTGGGTAGTCATTGGATGTAATAGTTTATTGCATTTATCTTTTCAGAACTTCATTTGCGGTGACTGGTTACACATGGACATAACAGGTGTGGGCAAGGTGGCTCACTTTGTAGCGCCGCCCTACCTGGACCCGCGCCGTATGACGGGCAGGCCTTGTCGAACGCTCACCACGCTTCTCGAGAATATTGCTCACGATACTCAGTCTAAATCAAAAACATTTAAACACGAGCAGCCGGATGTTGGCAAAAAATAATAGATTTTTTTATTTATTTTCAATTATCATATTTGTATTTAACGACTTCAACTCGGCGGCATTCCAAGATTTTAAATATGTCGTATAATTGTTAGTCTCAAAATTAACCAGGAACCAGAAAACATTCCAGTTAAGTGGTAACACCGATTAGTTAATACATTGATGCATATTAACTTTATTGTCACTTTTTCGATAATATTTGACGTTACTTGATATTGTAGTGAACCGAACGTTACTTTGGGTGGTACAAAACTACCAACTGAACTGTTCCGGTCGATTGTTTCCTCTGAAAGATGAAAATGTATTTTACTTACGGATGAATAAATCGAAAATTTATTAGATCCATAACATGTGCCTACTCTATGCAATCATCTACGTATTCGCTGATTCACATCTGAAGCGTGTTTTATGGCCAATAAGTCTTGTATGTTTATTTTAAAATGCAGTTGGCAACACTGTTCTCTTTAAAGACTAAACATAAGCGGCATTACGTAGTTATCCACTCAGGTATTTACAATTTATTCACAAACCTGTGGGTATGTTGACTCCATAGAGCAGTCGTTTATAAATCTAGCTGCGAGTTCTGCAATGTACATTGTGATTTTACATTTACAAAAAATACATGTAAACGTTTTAATAAAAAGTGACGGTATTAATTTGTGTTTTATTGAGTGCAAATCTGTGTTAGACTTTGGTGTAATGTCAAAGAGATGTCTCCCTTATCTTTACATAGTATAAAATTCGTATAAAGGTCGCTTGCCGTTCTAGTACGCTTAGATTTACCACAATAGAGTGATTCAAGAGGAAGGTTTATATGTATAAAACATTGCCTTGCGAAGCCGGGGCGAGTCACTAATTTTATAATATGTAACATTTAACTTTAACAATTGTTACTTTGTTCATAAATTAAAGCAATTATTGTGTTTGCCTAAAATAATAATGTAATTCTTATTGTTGAAGTAAAACAAGCTGGTTATAAAATATAGCAAATTTCTATATTTAATTATATTTAAACGTGAACAATGTTCCCACAATGATGACAAGATCTGAAGCGAGAGCGAAAAACAAATCAATGATATGTTGCAATCATAGAACAAGTATACCAGTTCAAAATTTATAAAACTACTAAACTACAAAACTTTATGTTCATATTGTATTGAACACTTATAAATTAATAAGATAAGCTTGGTTTCTAATGTAATCATATTTTTAACCTCATCCGCTTCTGAAATCTAACAATACAATATTTACGAGTATTAAGACATTTTATTAAAATTACGAAATTAAGTGTGAACTTCGACCACATTGTTTTTATTTATTTATTGCCGGTTTTCTAAAGATCCGAGTTTAAGGGCTATATGGAAGAACTTTTGTAATAACAGATGCCTTACCTGGTTACCTACAAGAAACAGTGTCATTTGCTAAGATTATTTCAAGACTTCTGACTGTGTTGGCAAACAATAGAAGGATGTGTGGAGGAACGGGTGTCATGTCCTTCCAACACAAAGGCAGGATCCTCCGATCAGGCGAGGTGATCATGCCTTGCGAGCCGCGGCCCAACGATTGATGTTGGTAAGTTGTATACATATATGCTAATCGGCGAGATAATTCTTCATATCGCGATACAGGATTAGCAATTATCATTCCGTAGTTACTCCGTAGGTGTCTTCGTCAGATGGCGCTGTAGTATGTTTCTGTTTCTTTATTCGACATATTTATACAAAATTAATTCAGTTTAAACACCAGTGATAGGTAAAACTATTGATAATATCAATGATGATTTATGTAGGAATATACAAAGGCCTATCGATATTAATATCCATCTCTGTCTTACTTTTATAGCCTGATTTCCCTAATCGACTTCTCGGATATATCGGTAATTGTTACAGCCACGGTTGCTTGCAACATGTCAATGTAGTGCGTCACTTCATTACACTGAATGTAGGGGTGTGTGAAATTGTTAACGTGTTATTTTAATTGTCATGGAGTTCCGTAGGGACAGCTGATTGTTTTTGTATGAGAGTCTGATTGTTTTAGTACGTGAGCGTGGTGAAGATTGCTCCCCCCCCCCTCGCGCAAAAAATGAATGACCATTTTGTAATCGCGAAAAGACGCTTTTTTTTTGCTCAAATGTAACTAACCCTGGCAGGGCCACCATCATGGATTTTATTTTTGTTAAGATAAGACTGCCTATGAAACAGTGGTCCAGTCATAGTAAATGATCCCATAGCTCATCATTGTGCTAATATAAAGCTGACATAGACCAATATTACTTATTGTGCATCGAGCTTGGCACCGACTTCAAACAGACTAGAAGGGACTATTGGTATTATAATGTTACCTGTTACATTGAGGGTACTTATTATAGTTTTTTACTTAGATTTTCAGTGCTCTTTGTCGGTGTTGTTTGAAGTCGATTCAACTTTTTTTTTAAAAGGGTTTATGGAGCTGCGTTCCCGGCGAAAGTAATACGCGAGTACGAATGTTATCGGATTTATTCAAGTTCGCTCGTAACTCCGGCGCGCCTACATGCGTTTCTAGTTCATTTACTGTTCTGTGACTACAATTATTATACAATTCAATAATTGCTTACGACCGGTGTACGCTAGACCCTGCGCTTTCCAAAGTAGGTATTCCTGTAACTTGGAAGTGTTCCGCTGATGGCTCATTCACGGTATCCCGGTAGTATAGTGACTGTGAATGTGTGTGTGTAGAAGGGATCGGTGTTGTTGGATAATAATGTCGAAACCATTTTTTTTTTCACATAAACATGGACTTAGTTGTGTTTATATTATGTGAGTAAAACAATTCTTTGGTCTGCCGTAGTTATGTTCTAGTCACCATCCATACCAATATTGTAAACGCGAAAGTGTATGTCTGTCTGTTCTCTTCACGCTTAAACCGCTGAGCTGATTTAGATGAAATTAGGTATATAGTTCGAGTAGGTACCGGGAAAGGACAGTTCCAGAAATCATCCTTTAAGGGGGGTGGAAGTTTGTACGGAGTATGAGTGTATTAGTGTTATGCATTGTCTAATGTGTCTAAAGCACGGAAAATCAGATGACGAAGTAGATTTGACCACCGTCAGTACTAGTTTTATTTAACAAAGTTATTTGATGGAAACAGTCACTTTAAACTAATAATTTTAGTAGGAAAATAATTGTTTAACAAAAATAAATACCTATCTGCCTTTTTTGTAATTAAAACTAAAACCATATTATCTTATCATAGAATCAATAAGAAATTACGTAGAACTGCATTATACAAGCCTACAATAATTTTTTTCTTGGCAATTTTTCGTAAACTCGGTTTATCGGTGGCCAAAAAAGGCCGCACACATTGTGATCGTGAACGTGGAGAGCTACATTTCATCATAACTTTTTAGTCACTTACAGTTTTCTTACGAAAATTCGTATACATTTGAAGGTAGACAAGCAATAGAATAGCGTTTAAAGTAAGTCTTTAGAGGTCTTGTGCTGATATGTGGCGACAAATTTTTTGTTTTATCAAAATTAAAATATGGTGGCCCTAGGTTTATTTTAAAAAGTCAAATTTGGGTTGGTTGGTGGTCTATTTTTGGAAATAGCAACAACTGTCGATTTACGATATTTATCGTCTAATTACGTACTGGATTTATTTTTATTTGACACAAATGCCTTTAATCTGAATTTGTGATACACAAATTCAGATTTCATTCGCCGGCGACTCGCCACGAGTTGTGAACACCAATGTCAGTGACCTCGTTCATACCATTTCGTATCTCTCAACAAAAGGATGCACTTCGAGTGGTTGAATATTTTGTGTTATTATTATATAGTTATTTTACATTTCGTTAAACAATTTTAAACAATACAAGACAGACATGTACTTGGATGTTAAATGTAATTATAGGGATAAATAAAACACCGATGCTTATTGACCTAAAAATGAAGAAACATTTATTTTCAGTATGTCTTTTGTAAAATTTAATAACAGAATGAATCAAATGTGGTAAGATATAACAGAGCGGATTACTTTCCATTTCGATAGAATTAGTTTCACCAACTATAGAAATATAATATTTATCAAGTCATTTACAGATACAATTAATGCAGTACCGATAAATCTAATTTATTCGTTTACCGAGTTAGTTAAATTTAAACATTTATTACGATTCATAATGTACACGGAGTGGAGCGGGCCTCGGCGAGGAGCCGGCCCGGAGGTACACTACATTTTTTTGGGATTTTTTAAATTTTTATTTCTCACGTACTTTATAAATATCTCATACTTGAAAAAAATTTACATTAAAATGTATCGGAAAGGTGCGGACGCTAACACTGGTCCGCTGAAGTCGGCGAGAGATGATCCGAGCTCGGCAGCGGCCACCGGAGACAGCAGCGCTCGCCGGGAGCGGCCACGCCTGCCGGACACCGGCAGCGTGACCGCGGCCCGCGAGCGTGACCAGGGGCCAACAGCGTGACCGCGGCCCGGGAGCGTGACCAGGGGCCAACAGCGTGACCGCGGCCCGGGAGCGTGACCAGGGGCCAACAGCGTGACCGCGGCCCGGGAGCGTGACCAGGGGCCAACAGCGTGACCGCGGCCCGGGAGCGTGACCAGGGGCCGCCAGCGGTGACCAAAGACCAGGCTTGCATCAGGCAGAGCACGCACGCACACATACTGACGCCACGGAATATACACAACATATAAATATGAGCCGACACGAACCCGAGACTTATACCATCACATTGCGACGCACACCGATTCGTTTTCCCTTTGTACCGCTACAGTTAAAATTTTTCTTACTTAGTAAAATTAACGGAATACTTTAAAATCTAAATAAAAAGAGGAGGCGGAGGCGACGGGCGACGCGCCGGTGGCCCGACAGTCGCCCGACGCCTCTACGTCCACACCATACAAGTACATCATTAAACTGAAACGATGACAATATTTAATTTATCGCAAACACTAGAGAAATGCAGGTCCAATACGATGGTAATATTGTGTGTCATGAAACAAAATGTATATTTAAATTCTCTGCTTTTTACACACACACTAGCCGGCGGCTCACTTCGACGTCATCATGGTGACGAATTCTGTAACAGAAAACGGGACAGAATTAGTATACATCGTCGAGAGCGAGGGAGGAATCCCGCGACATATTGCCGAGGTTTACAGGAAAACTTCACATAAACCCTTGCATAACATGTCTAAGATAAAATGTTAAAACAAACATTATTAACACAACGAAAATAACCGACAGAGATAGAGGTGCACTAATAAGATATAACCGCTAGTAGACAAATAACCACTAGATGTATTAATTAAATATCGATTAACACCAAACATACATATACCCGCGCCGGCCCACGACTGCGCACACGCATCAGGTAGGTATATATTTGATGCAGCGACAGACAACATAAAGAAACCGAATATACGTATTTTACCTCAACATGCCACTACAAGGGGATTATGTGAAATACCACCCTCTGGATATATCAATATAAAGATACAGTTACTGGTAGAGTACGTGTGGGCGAGAGAGAGCACTCGGTTACAAGATTCCAGTGCTGTGAACAAGTTCCCAAGTGTGTTGTGCGAAGCCTACGTCATAGTCGACAAATATCGATCGTCTATCAGCGCGGCCAATGTTTGCTGCTCGTCTGTGTGACCGTGGGTCCGTGTACAGTGGCAGTGTCTGTGAATGTCAGTGTATTTGTCATGTGACACACGCAACGCAGCGAGCGGGACCGGGCCGCGGCGACCCGCCGGATAACACGGATCACCAGGTGGTATTTCTATAATAAAAAATCTATACAAACATTAGACACATGCACCAGTCAAGGAAAACATATTCAACACCCTGAGGCGGCCGCGTGTAATTTTGTCCCGAGAACAAAATTGCAGACGTTCCGCCTTCGCCAGTTGTGAGTTATAGACAATCGATAGCCAAGTGTAAGATCCCAACGAGAGAGTGAGAGCGGAGCTGGCCGGGGCGGGACAGCTCGGGAGGGAGCAGCTAACATATCCAAGGTAAGGAACAGTTAATAACGAGCAGCAAACCATTCAGATTAACACTGGGGTATACCTATTGTCGCACCGCACCCGACGTAGGCCGTAGGCATCGATCACTACACACTACTAGGGGAAATTGTTTCGAGATCACAGCGTTGAGTCTTTTCTTATTGTTAATTAAGATACTAATATCACAAGTGTGCCTGGCCGTGCGCTAACGGCTGCCGTCGCCGCGAGCGAAAATGATTTGGGCCAGTGCATGGAAGTCTGCAAGAGAGAGAACCGAGCTCGGATGATACGGCTAACAGCAGTGCTTGCTACAGTACAATATTGCGCCCGCTGCCCGTGACTCACCATATTCCAATTTTGTGTAAAACCGTTTTAAAAACGAAGGGTTGTCTGCCTCAACTTTATGTCGGCAATTGCGGTATCGAAAGTTAAAATTGACATTATTGTATCTTAATGTTTACTAAACTAAACACAAATTGGAATATCAGTGTTACGCGGATTTTGCAATTGAAAACAGCGGATTAGTGTCCGACTTCAAACCCCGTCAATGTCTACCCCACCTTATAGTCATCGATCCATGCAGCAGAAAACCAAGCTCAACGTACAAGCCAGAATTCAAGCTTTACACGTTACATGTCTCGATGGCGTCGGGCCTTATATAGTTACTAAGTAAAAGTAGCAAGCAATCAAGTATCTTGTCGTCGGCTGTTTCTACTCAACTAAATTACATAATAATATACACATTGCAGGATCATTATACTCTCGTTCGAACATAAAACCTAGTAATCGTAAACAAAGGGCGACATGAACATTTTACGAGGGATGGATACGTTCGTGGTGAGTGAGTTTAATAAAGTGGACCTTCTGGAATCAAGCAAAACCCAACTGTTAGTGTCAACACGAACTATGTATATACTACATGCTGGAGTATAATTATGTGGAGTATCCTTGATACCGACGTAGAAGAGTGGTGATATAATATTAGGTTAGTGCTAAACTTTCGACTACCATTTTGTGGTACTGCGTGAATTTAATACGTTAATTTGCGGTTACGGCAAATTTTAATATTACTATTCGCTAATGAATAATTTACAATAAAGATCCACATCTACCGACATCCGAGAAACAAGATTTATAAGCAATCGTTTAATACGAATAAAGACGATTGGAATCTAAAAAAATATTTTAGAATCAGATTTAGTGTCTGTAAGTTTTGTTTCTTGAATGCGTATGTTTCGGCAAAAGACAAACATCGAATCACACCCCAGAAGCTGGCGGCACTCACCCTCATAATTGACTTGTCCGTCGCCATCGATGTCGGCCTCGCGGATCATTTCGTCTACCTCTTCGTCGGTGAGTTTCTCCCCGAGGTTAGTCATCACGTGGCGCAGCTCGGCGGCCGATATGAAACCGTTGCCGTCCTTGTCGAACACGCGGAAGGCTTCACGGATCTCTTCCTCGCTGTCCGTGTCCTTCATTTTGCGGGCCATCATCGTAAGGAACTCAGGGAAATCTATCGTGCCGTTGCCTGGAAAAATTTATAAAATATAATGTTATTATGAGATCCGTATACAAAGAATAAATTGAGGATGATTTATGTAGTGGTATGCGCTATATTTATTGAATATATGTAAATCGTCAGCCTGTTAATTTTCCTACTTTTAGTTTTTATGTCTTAAATAATAAAAGCAATTGCCGTATTTTTGCCATGTCTCTTATAGGGTTCTCTCACTGAAATATTACTTAAATAACTTTTATCACAATACATGTTAGTTCCTGACAAACGTATTGTAATATTTGTTAGTCTACATTGTCGCGAGGGACGTTAGATGCTGTTTATTTTGTTCACGACGTTAAGTGCTGGTGTTTCCACGAACGAACTGGTAAACATAACATGTGATTTATCATCTGGCTGGATCTGTACACTGTCAAGGCACGTGAACGCTATGCGTGCGAATAATAGATAATATTTTATGGCGGCAAATCCATAGATTTATGTTAAACTTAAAATTCTATTTCGTCTGATGAATGGAGCTTAAAAATATAACGTTTTGGATCGTTCTTTCGAAGCTTGACCTATATGGCATGAGGCTTTGATCTACATAGAATGGGTCTTTCCGTTTTGTTTTTCACTTTTAGAACGGTAGCTGTGATCTAACGCAGTAACGCTTTATCGTGTCACGTGTTTTACGTTTAAAATCTAGTAGTTTACATAATTAAGCGTGCAGAAGCCTATGTAAACACTACATACATTAACATTATTAAATTTCATGTGTAGCCTTATCTTGTTCAAATAGTGTACATGTAGAAGCTTTTACTATAATTTGTCTGCGTATTTACTGGATAGGCATACCGACCATATTTGTGTGGTTGCTTCACAAGGCTGGTTCACAAGGTCATCATCATCAGCCTTTAATAGTCTACCGCTGGACATGGCCTCTCCTTAGAAAGGAGGTTGTGGCCTACCATTCCGCGTTGGTATAGGGTTAGTGTCATGTTTTCTGTATCTTTGCAATGCTGTTGTCCTGGTAGTTTGCTCCCTTAGTCGGGTCTTACGACACCCAAGGGAGGAATAGGGGTGGTGATACTCCGTATTCTTAATCCGTCATCACACGGATAGAGGTATAAGTCGAATATATCGTTGAAAGATTTATTTGGAAGCTTCAAAGTGTAATATGTCTCAAGGCCGGGTCCAAAAACGTGGTCCCGGAATGGAACTGGTGGTTAATACACTACAAATTTCACTTGCAGGGAACAAGCAGCGGGCGCGTGATTGCGTAAAATGGAATAATTTATGGCCGGATCGAGACGGGTACCGAGCGCTCATTAAAATACTACCCGTCCATATTTACATTATACATCAATTTACGAGTTTATCAAGATTTACACATGTTTCTTTTTAACTGATTGCAACTCATGTTAGGACTCGTATTGTTGCTGGTACACGTGTTTATGCAATATTTAATTTTACAACATTTTTCTTGCCAAGATTGTTTTTTTTTTTCACGTCTGAAAAATGCAAGACTATAACTTAAAGAACCTTGCTGAAGCAGGTTGATGTTAATCTCTCTTTAGAGGACACACAGGGTCACGGTGTTGAAATAATTGAAGCCCGACCGTCGGGTCTCCACTTCTAAAGAAGCCTGATGTTAAAAAAAAAACAGTGGTGTCGATAGAAGTGAAAACTTATATACAGAGGTGTCGGTAACGGTAACAGTGTCGCGAGTTCAATAGTTTTTTCCTTTAGCTTGTTGTTTAAAAATGCCCAACGCGCCTTAAGAAGTTTTCACTTAAAAAAAGCGAGACGGACTGGTGAGACGGTACCTAACCTCTATAGGACAACTTGTCTTGCAAACGTTTATCAGCAAGTGGAACCTGGACTTCATACTATCCGTACTGGCTAGAAATATTACTTTCGAATTCAAATATTTCCTATAATAAAGCGCCGTTAAACGTTTGAAAGCCAAATATTCACACAGGCACTAGCTCTGAAAGCGGCAATATATTACCACCACCACTAATAATGCAACTGAATCTGTTTTGTTAAAATAGTAACGTTATTTTGAAAAGTTAGGAGTGTTTGGGAAAAGCCAGTAAGTAGGTAAATACTTCTGTCTATCTCAGACCGTTTTTAACGAAATATTTTCTTGTCAGTTATGTCACATGTCATTCTTACCAGTTATTATACTGAAGGTGATCGGTTAGTACATATCCGACTGGCGCGAGAGGTGTTCGGTCGAGGCGTTGCAAAAATAAGTTGCCGAGTTAAGTTTGGACAGTCTAATTCTGGGTTTAACCTTTCCGAGGTGGTTCGCGAGCTATTAATACGCGCCACGTGAACTAAGCTTTCAAGAGTGCACTCCGCACACCCGGTGTTCGCTATTACGTTTAGGCACTTTCTGATCGAGCAAATAGTATGTGCTCGAGAATTTGTTGGTCATTGGTTTCTTTTTAAAAGGTATAATTTAACTCGAGTCAGTCTCATTTACAAACTCGTATATTTGAAAGTGACGGCTTAAATCAAGAAGTGTATCTTCAAGTTTCTTTCTGTTGAATTACATTAACACCAAACAGCGCTTTACAGTAAGTTTTTTCAGTCTAGACAGATATCATTTAATTAGATATAAAAACTGCAAAAGGGGTCACTGAACTATGCAGCTTATGTTGCACGGTTTATGCACAGAATATATTACTGGGTAAAAATTTATAAAGCGTGCCATTAATTACCCTCTAAATTTTAAGATTATGTGGTGATCTAATATCGAGTGAAAAATTCTTTGGTTTTAAAAGGTTGGAGGCGGACACTACATTTAAGACAACTTAATGTCTTCTATAACCTTATACAAAATCTCTAACATTAAACATGGTATACTCCTTAGAAGGAAACTAGTACTAGAGCGAGTGTGATTTTATTAATATTCAGCAAGTTATCTGCCATATTTTTAACATAAGCTCCCATAATTCAGGGTATTTTAGTGATCAATAATGTGTTTTGGCATGTTTATGTTTTATAAATTAAACAAATTTTTATCACAGTATGTTTACATATAATGCGTATATTTGTAGCAATGCGAGATATAAATCGGGAATGAATCGCGGTAATATTTACGATGTGCTTCTTTGTTTGTGTTGTAAGAAACCTTTTGATTTAACTGAGTAACGATAGCTGTGTTTAGCTCTGTTTATACCGCCGGTCGTAACTATGTTACCACAGAAAACCATTTTTTATGGGATAGGGGGCTAAACGAGCAGACGGGGTCACCTGATGGTTAGAGACCGCCGCCACCCTTGGACACCTGCATCTCGAGCATTTCATACCAAGAAAAATAAATAAATAATAAAAACTGTGGCACTGGGAGTGGCGACAGAAGTGAAAACGAACAATTACGGGTATTTTTTTCGATTCGAAAAGTTCCGACATGAATATGTATCTATGTATAATATATGTTTACATTATATTTAGTTGTATTATCAATGTACTTCAAGCCAAACGTAAATCTCGTGTGAACGGGGCCAATATACATATGTAGATACTTATATACTAGAGGTGTCGGTGATGGTAACGGCGTCACGAGTTTAATGGTTTTTTTTTCCATCTCAAAAAATGTGTTTTTTTTTGTTAAACCCTAATAAAATAAATTCCTTTGCTTGCTGTTCAAAAATGCCCAACGCGCCTAAAGAAGTTTTCACTCCAAAAAGCAAAATAAAGTTTGAAACGGAGAAGAATACAACACGCACTATCAACAGATATAATTAACTAAACGCACTAGCCGTGGTATTTTGGGTGTGGTTTTATAGACTATTGATAATGAAATGAATTAGCCCCACACGTAAACTGGTACAAGTACGCTACAAAATCTATATCACACACATTAAATCTCTACTTTACAACTAGTATTATTGCAAATAATATAAGAACACCGACCGACTTTATGTGCGCAGTTCCTTGTTTGTTTCCTATCATAGAAATTAAAAAGATCGAGTCAGATAAAAATGAGTCAACAAGCAATCACGCACTGATAGAGCATCAAGACCTTTTAAGGCAACTCGCCTGGTGACTTATAAATATGATTTGTAAAAGTAAGTTAATATCGAAACAAATCGAACTTTTGTGTACGATGCTTTACTCTCAATTTTTAATTATTTGTTGTAGTAGGTATTGCATCACATTCAAAGACAAGAAGTCGGTTAATAATAGACTAAGCTGAAATTAGGCGATAAGGTAAAGTAAGTGGGTTTGGGCAGCGGCTTTCCTCGGGACCAATGTTTTCGTGGGTGGATAGTGTCCTGGCATCTTGTCTATAAAATTTCATGATGATCGAAGCATATTGCGTGTAAAACACGAACAATCATTGGTTTCTGTGAGAATTTTAACCGTTCACCGCATTTTAACCTGCGTTTATAATCACTGCTCTGGTCTCTATGTACGGGGTGGTTACATAGCAAATTGTATACCTCAATATCAACTCATGAATATAAAATATAGTTTTGAACCCCAGTTCCAGAGAACAACGCTCTTAAACAAAATTTATTTTAGATCTTTCATGTCATGCCGCACGTTCACTGCACATTAGTGATAAAATTTACGAATTGCCGATAACAGCCAACCGGGTGGTATATATCTCTTTGGAACAATCTACAAATAATTGTCATTCACGAAATACGGCAAATGTTTAGAGATTCCTAGATGCGATAATGCGACAGGCTTTGTAGAACCCAGCTGTTTGAATGAGTGCCTCGAACATGTTCAATGGACCCAGGTTAACCTTGCCTCACTCACTCACGCGTGTAATGAGCGAGATCGCTGTGTGATGAATTGACGTTGCAAACAATGTAAACTATGTATGATTTATTCATGAGCTATTTTTATGACGGACTGGCCGACAGGTTGATGTTCCAAACTTGTAGTGTTTTTTTTTTAAACTTAAATATCCTCCTGGTTGGTAACTTATTATTAATACAGTGTTAGGCAGCAGTGCAAAAGCCTTCTTTCGTTTCAAGCCATTACTTTTGTAAGGGTGTGCTCGA